ACACCAAATCAACCAACAATACTTTTACCCATGACTTATCAACCAAACGAAACGGGACGATAGATGACAACATTGCGTACATGCGACTCATTTTTTCTCTTCTCTAAGAAAGGTATTTTGTCCCTTTCTAAGTTAATATAAGGCATTGGAAGTGATCCCCAATGCCGTACTTTCGCCATCTTTTTCAAAATTGCTTATGGCCATGATATTGACATTATATACAAAGTACTTTCACAGTCTAATCTAATGATATCATATTTATGTCATATATTGACAAAATTCAAAGTACTTATTAATTATTGAGAAAACAACCGTGTACGCACGGCCCCGCGTCGCTCTCTCTAGGGCGACTCGGGCGGCGCCGCTCCTCCACACGCCTCCGAGCCCCTCACGCTCCCATCCCCGGCCGCTGCCGGAGCTCGACGCCAGCAGGCCGCCCGAAGGCAGGGATGGCGGCAGCTGGGTCTTCCCCCCCTTCTCCTCCCTCCTCTCTCTCTCTCTCTCTCTCCCGGAGGTGCTCCCAAGTTAGGGATTATAGCCATGGCGGAGGTCTGCATGGGGCGGCGGCCGGCGGCGGGATTCCGGCCTGCCATGCCCGGATCCGGCGTCCCCTAGGCCGGATCTGTCCTGCCGGTGCGCAGATCTGTGGTGCGGATCGCGAGAGGCACCGCGGGGCGTGGTGGTGCGGTGGCGGGCTGTGGTGCAATGGCACAAGCCAGCGGCGCGGCGCGCGGAGCCACGCTGGCGCTTCCTCGGGGCAGGATGGCTCAAGGCTGCGGCGATTTCGAGGCCGGACCGACGTGACTACGGCGGTGGCTCGCTCCGGGCTACCAGTGGGCAGATCCGCTGCCTCCTCACCCTGAGCGCTCGGCGTCAGCGTGCAGCGACCGCGAGGCGCCCGACGATGGCGGGCATGGCTGCGGGGTGCTTGGTGCTAGCATACGATGACAGCGGGTGCGGCCGTGGATTGTTCGGCGCAGGCGTACGAGGCTGTGCGCCCTTGCGTTTGCTGGCTGCCGGGGCGTTATCCGGGGCGCGCGCGCTCGGGCGGCCGCCCGGGCTGGCGATAGCTGCGCCGAAGTGCCACGGCTGTGGCGCGGTGGCCGTGAGGAGTCGACGCCCTACGCTGGTGTGCGACGTTGGCGCCGTGGTGGCATGGACGGCGACAACCTCCTCGTTTTCATGTCTGTGGCGCCATGGCGGCGAGGCGGGCGAAGGTCGAGCGGGGCAAACCAGCCTCTCATAGTTCGGTGACAGCGACAGTGAAAGCGTCCTCCGTCCTAGGGCATGCAGCCCTGTCGACGGGCTCGATGGGAAAGGCTGCTGTAGCTGGCACGGGCTGGCCACTGTCGTGCATGGGATTTAGGGGCTATGGCGAAAGCTTTACCCATTCTCTGGGTCGATGACGGCGACGCCTTCGGGCAAAGTTTACTTCCTTGAAAGCGTCTATCGAAAGCCCCTCCTCTCCTTGAGCGGCGTGTGCTTCCTGGGTGTATAACCTTAGACCTTCTGGTCAGGCGACGACGGCGTCGATGACGTTGTGCCCCTTATTGGAGGCGTCACTTTGGAAGGTTGTGCCCTTTATGTCTGTGGCTGCAGCCGGTGTCGTGGCAAGAAAGGTGGAGACCTAGCCGAGGATTCGAGTTATTGATGTCAACGGTGGTGGAAGGCAGCCAGGTGGAGGGCATTAACACAGCGAATGGAGGGCTTGACGTCTGTTTGCAAGTGGAGGGCGACGGTCTGGTGAGACCGTGTGCCAATTGCGACCACGAAGATGGCGAGGAGGACGTCGTGGATGACGCCCACGGAGTTGGCGAGGAGGCTGACGTGGGAGGTGGTGGCTAGCAGATTTGCATTGCTGAGGTGACCTGCATGGAGTGGCAGCAGGCGGTCCCGCTCAGTGGCGATCGTTCCGGTGCAAGGAGGCGCTCTGATGGCTGCTGGAGCTGGTGTGTGGCACTTTTACCTTCGTTGAGGCAGCTAGGTTGCTGGAAGCGATAGGGTGCGTGTGTGGATCTCTATGGCAGGGTCGACTTGGTGAGTGCGAGAGGCAGCCGCCCACAATTGGGTTGACAGCTTGCAGCGGACCACGGCGGCTTTGCCCTGCTTGGCAGTGGCTAGTCCGGCGTGGGACAACGTCTTCAAAGACGGCGCAAGCGGGGCTCAATTACGGGAGGGCTACACGGCTAGCAGCGGCCTGCTGCGACTAGCTCAGCTTTGCAGTGGGCTATCTTGGTGTGGGACTTCGTCGGCAACGACGGCGCGAGCGGTTTGAGATCGGCGCGTGTTGATGTCCCAATCCAACCGGCCGAGTTGTTTTTTTTCCTATTTTTTTGGGTGGTTGTTGCCCAGTCTGGGTTCATCTTCTTTTTAATATAATTGTCAGCCTGTTCGCTTGGTCGTAAACGATCGTAAATTTCCAGCCAGAACAGTATTTTTCTCTCACACCAAACTAGCTAGCAGTAAATAATCCACGATCGTTTACGGCCTCCCGAACAGGCTTATTGGGCTGGTGGTGCCTTGACGTTTACAAAGGGCCAGTCTTCATCCCTCAGTGTTGCATGACCGGTCTATGTGACTCTTATCATAAAAACATTACCCCTCCTCCCATGCCAGCGCAATGCCCCACTCCCGGCAATGCCCTTCGCCTGTGCCATCCCTTTGCCTGCGGCTAGCAAGTCGTGGTTCTTGTTGGCCTGGCTGTGAGTAGTTTGGTGGAGTGTGCAATCAGGGTAGGGCCAAGTTGTCTTGTACTTTAGTTTGCTTAGGAGCAACTTTTCTTCCTTGATTTTGTACTTTTACTAGTCGTAGTCTTAGTTGTGGCCCAACTGTTTATGCATTATCAACAACAACAACAAAGCCTTTAAGTCCCAAACAAATTGGGATAGGCTAGAATTGAAACACAGCATAAGCCATCAAGGTTTAAGCACGTGAATAGCTGTTTTTCAAGCACTCCTATCTAAGGCTAAGTCTTTGGGTATATTCCATCCTTTTAAGTCTCTTTTTATTGCCTCTACCCAAGTCAACTTCGGTCTTCCTCTGCCTCTCTTCACGTTACTATCCTGGCTTAGGATTTCACTACGCACCGATGCCTCTGGAGGTTTCCGTTGGACATGTCCAAACCATCTCAACCGGTGTTGGACAAGCTTTTCTTCAATTGGTGCTACCCCTAATCTATCACGTATATCATCGTTCCGAACTTGATCCCTTCTTGTATGACCGCAAATCCAACGCAACATACACATTTCCACGATACTTATCTATTGAACATGTTATCTTTTCGTAGGCCAACATTCTGCACCATACAACATAGCATGTCTAATCGCCGTCCTATAAAACTTTCTGTTTAGCTTCTGTGGTACCCTTTTGTCACATAGGACACCAGATGCTTGGCGCCACTTCATCCACCCTGTTTTGATTTTATGGCTAACATCTTCATCAATATCCCCGTCTCTCTGTAGCATTGATCCTAAATATCAAAAGATATCATTCCTAGGCACTACTTGACCTTCTAAACTAATATCTTCCTCCTCCCGAGTAGTAGTGCCGAAGTCACATCTCATATACTCAGTATTAGTTCTACTGAGTCTAAGACCTTTGGACTCCAAAGTCTCTCGCCATAACTTCAGTTTCTGATTCACTCCTGTCCGGCTTTCATCAACTAGCACTACAACATCCGTGAAAAGTATACACCAAGGGATGTCCCTTGTGACCTCATCCATCATTAAGGCAAACAGATAAGGGCTCAAAGCTGACCCTTGATGTAGTCCTATCCTAATTGGAAAGTCATCCGTGTCTCCATCACTTGTTCGAACACTAGTCACAACATTGTTGTACATGTCCTTAATGAGCCCAACGTACTTCGTTGGGATTTTATGTTTGTCCAAAGCCCACCACATAACATTCCTTGGTATTTTATCATTAGCATTCTCCAAGTCAATAAAAACCATGTGTAGGTCTTTCTTCTTCTCGCTATACCGCTCCATAACTTGTCATATTAAGAAAATGGCTTCCATGGTTGACCTTCCGGGCATGAAACCAAATTGGTTCATAGAGACCCGCGTTATTGCTCTCAAGCGATGCTTGATAACTCTATCCCATAGCTTCATAGTATGGCTCATCAACTTAATTCCCCGGTAATTAGTACAACTTTGAATATCCCCTTTATTATTGTAGATCGATACCAATATACTTCTCCTCCACTCGTCAGTCATCTTGTTCGATCGAAAAATATGGTTGAACAGCTTGGTTAGCCATACTATAGCTATGTCCCCGAGGCATCTCCACACCTCGATTGGGATACCATCCGGTCCCATCGCCTTACCTCCTTCCATCCTTTTCAACGCTTCTCTGATATCAGATTCTTGGATTCTCCGCACAAAGCGTCTATTGGCGTCATCAAAAGAGTCATCCAATTGAAAGGTTGTGTTCGTATTCTCACCATTGAACAATTTGTCAAAATACTCTTGTCATCGATGTCGGATCTCATCCTCCTTCACCAAGAAATGCTCCCTTTCATCCTTAATGCACTTAAATTGGTTGAAGTCTCTTGTCTTTTTCTCACGAAGCCTAGCCATCCTATAAATGTCCTTCTCTCCTTCTTTCGTACTCAAATGTTGGTAAAGATCCTCGTATGCTTCTTATTTTTAACAGTTGCAAGTGTGGTGGAAGATGAGTAGCTAATATATTCCACTTAGACATACTCTTATTCCTATGGCATGTCTATAAGGCAGAGATCAACAATGCGGTACTTGAAGCCCGAGAAATCCGAGTGATGTATTTAACTGAAGACTGATGGTGGTGAATTTTGGTTCATGGAAATACCTTGTCATTGAATATGGTGGACTAGTGTCATAGACCAAACCAAACAAAAAGGTATCTATGATTTGTACAATCAGGGTTCCCATTTCACTGCAACGCAGGAGTATATTTGAAACGCAACACAAAAAGCGCTGAAACTGTAGTTCACTTAAACTCGGCTCTTGAGAGATTTTTTTTTTTCAAGAGGTTGCTTGAGGGACCTTCTTCTCCTTAGCATGCTCGGAAAATTTCTCAGCAGCTGCAGCCAAAGGTGCCGTGCTCACCATAGCTTCAACCTCTGGGTGCGCATCATCAATCTCATACTCGATAGTCGTCCTGATCACCGACAAGTTGGCCCCTTTGGGAATGATCTCAAACCGTACCATGTAGGCCAGGAACCCCAGCTTCAGAATGTCGCCATCGATGGCTTCTGTCTCCTTGATATAATTCTCGTTGTCGACTTTGATGAACTTCTCCTTGTAGCTCTGCAGCCCAGGAATCCCTAGCAGGAGCGCAGATCAGCGCAACTAAAATATTACTACTACTAGCGTGCGTATCCAACATCAATCAAAGATTGCAGTAGCATATATATGATTATGAGTACGTGAGTTCGATCATACAAACTTAATTTCTCTCACCAGGAGGAAATGTTAGCTGCAAGATGGTACCAACACCGCCGTCGCCGCTGACGAGGTCGACCTTGGCAAGCACGTGCGGGAGCAGCTCCGGCAGGAGCTCCGCGGCGCGGAGCGTGCCGTAGATCGCCCAGAGCTCGGAGGCGGGGACGTCGCCTCGTGCTCGTGGACCTTGCTTCCCTTCATTCCTAGTTCCTCGGCCTTTCAGCTGCGCGCTGCGTGATGATTCTATTGTCTGAGCTGTGGTGTATGTGTTAGGTGTGCCGCCTGTGGAAGCTGTCCGTTGTGCATAAATATATATATAGACAAGCTAGCCAGTATACTGAAAGATGCTATCTTTTCTGATTGGGATCTCGGAGAGAGGATGTGGCCAGAGCAAGCCTGTCATTTATTTGGCTGCATCTGTGGAGTGTCTTGGTGTTGCCCTTCCAGACGAAATGAAGTATTATCGCGTGATATATGGGCAGGCCTGAGACGATATTGATTAATGATTAGCATATGTTTGGCCGGCCTGAACCGGCCGAACATGCATGGCGATTCTTGTGTAGTCAGTCACTAGGCCGCCCTTATTTGGTTTTTATTTAGCTAACTTGGCTGGTTTGGGACGACACATTTGTTTGGATACATACAATCCGTGTTTGTTGCACGCAACCTTGATACAGCACGATCTTATGATCTTATCTGCTGCCGCTGAACATAAATAGTTGTCAATTGATTTTTTTTATATCGTTTCTTAACTTCAACCAGTTTTTTGGTCTCATTAAGTGCAACTGTTATAGGAAAATGGTTTTAATAAAATATAAAAAATATATCTTCTATGTTTCTAAATTAAATATTTTAGAAACTATTGAGAGCCGAAGTTCTCAAGTTTTGATTGGATTTTCATTAAAGCATCAACTATTAGTGACCGAATAGAGTATATCACATACTCTGTTTTAATTGGTGTGTCCTATTTACTTCTTTATTTGAGAAAGATATGCTGTGTCCATCTCTCTGTTAAATTGCGGTGTCCTATTTACTTATTTACTAGTAGAATGTCGGGGCTTACACTATGGCGACATTCAAACATGCAAATTAAAACAACCAAAATACACAGTTCGCTACATAAGACTTAGCATTTATAACTTAGCATACTCCCTCTGTCTCAAAATAGAAGACGTTCTCGCTTCTTGAGAAGTCTATTTTTTTAACGGTAATGTTGTGCTAAGGACGTCCATCCATCTGGACGCTTCCGTTGATGGGCCACGACACCAGCCCAATGACCCAACTCTCCACTTGCATAACAGAACTAAAACCCTACAAGTCGAGTGCCCGAGTCAGACATCCTCGTGGCGCGGCGTTGGTCACCACAGCACCATCGACTCCATCACCACCTATTGACCAATCCCACGCCTCCCCAACCAAAACCCTCTTCGTTCTCCGGTCCGGCGGCCCGCAACGATGGCCTCCATGGGGGACCGTGGTATCATGGAAGAGATCTTCGCCTACATCCCCACCCAGCTCATCCCCTCGCCTACAGAAGGCTTAATTTCCGTCGCCGCCTGCTCCGTCGTCGGTGAAGACGAGTCCGACGAGAGCCGCCTGGCGGACACGCTGCTCTCCTACATTGTCTCTCGCCTCCCCATCAAGGACACCGCCCGCACCGCTGTGCTGGCGCCGCGTCTAGGCCTCTACTCCGCTCGTCCTCAATGACTCTACTAGTCCTTTGTAATGTTGTGCTAAAAACACATGTGTTTCAAGTGTTTCAGATGTTTCAGAGATATATTGTAAGTGTTTCGTATGGATGTTGCAAAAGTAAATCGAGATGTTGCATATGTTGCAATGGTTGTATACATATGTTGCAAGCTTATGTTCCTAATATTTCATCTGTTTTTACCTGACGTATGTTGCAAATGTATTTATTTGGATGTTGCATATATTACACACATATGTTGCAAGTGTTTTTATCTGGATGTTGTGTATGTTTTATAATAATTTTCATGTGTTTTTGCAAGTGTTTTAGATGTATGTTTCAAATGTTTCATCTACCTTCAGACATATGTTGCAAGTGTTGCATCTGAATGTTTCAAAATTAGATCGGGTGTTGCATCTCCCTCTTCGGTTTGTGCTGCCTCACCTCGATGTCTTGTCCTACCCCCGGTGTCGACTAGCATCTGCCGCCCCATCCCTATCTTTTTTATGCTGGTGAAGTTCAGGGCGGTGCGGGCCCTGCGTGGACACGCGAAACAACATGGAAACGATTGTAGGCGCGGGTCGTCTAGACACCCCATCATTCCGGACGATAGGCGCTAGCAAGCCCGTTTTCTTAACTTTGACTAATTGTATATATTCTAGTTGAGTGCTGAAAGGTCCTAATATGGCTAGAGGAGGGTGAATAGCCTATTAAAAATCTACAAACCAACTAGAGCAACTTGATTAGTATGACAAATAGTGAAAAACAAACTTGATCTAGCTCTAAAAGGGTTGCAAGCCACCTATCCAACAATTTTAGTTGTTATGATCACTAGGCACACAATCTACTAAGTCACTACTCACTAAGAGCTCTCACAATTTCTACACTAAAGAGCTCCACTAGATGAACTTAAGCCACAAATCAAGCTCTCAATTCTAGCTACACTAAAGAGCTTGCTATAGCTAGTTTGCGAGAATGTAAATGAGTAAGTGAGGTGATTATACCGCCGCGTAGAGGAGTGAACCAATCACAAGATGAATACTTAATCAATCATTGGGAGAATACCAAAGGGCAAGAGACAACCAATTTTCTCCCGAGGTTCACGCGCTTGCCAACACACTACGTCCCCGTTGTGTCGACCAACACTTGGTGGTTCGGCGGCTAAGAGGTGTTACACGAACCTCGTCCACACAATTGGACACCGCAAGAACCTACCCACAAGTGAGGTAACTCAATGACACGAGCAATCCACTAGAGTTACCTTTTGGCGCTCCGCCGGAGAAAGCACAAGTCCCCTCACAATCATCGGAGATGGCCACGAACAATCACCAACTCATGCCAATCCTCCTCTGCTGCTCCAAGCCATCTAGGTGGTGGCAACCACCAAGAGCAACAAGCGAATCCCGTAGCGAAACACGAACACCAAGTGCCTCTAGATGCAAACACTCAAGCAATGCACTTAGATTCTCTCCCAATCTTACAAAGATGTTGAATCAATGATGGAGATGAGTGGGAGGGCTTTGGCTAAGCTCACAAGGTTGCTATATCAATGCAAATGTCCAAGAGAGTGAGCTTGAGCTGGCCATGGGGCTTAAATAGAAGCCCCCATGAAATAGAGCCGTTGGCTCCTCAGGTCACTGAAAATCAGGGCGACCGGACGCGCCGGTCAGATTGACCGGTCGCTGGACCTCAGTGTTTGGCCGCGCGATGCAGGGCACGTGGCACCTGCTTCAAACGTTGATCGCCCGATCTCAACGATCATCAGTACATTTAAGTTATGACCGGACGCGCTGCTTCGAAGTGACCGGACACAGGACCTCAGCATTCGGTCATTTCCAGTAAGGTTCCATTCACGACCGGACGTGTTCGGTCACCCCTGACCGGACTCACCCAGCGTTCGGTCAGTCATCCTCTTCTCTATGTGCTGCCACGTCAGCCGGACCGGACACGCCCCGTCAGCGTCCGATCACAAAGTGACCCAGCGTCCGGTCGAATACCGACGCCAGCGTCTTCACGGCTTCCACTGACCGGATGCTTTGGTCCAGTTGAGGCCAGCGTCCAGTGCACTCTGTCAAAACATGTCTTTTCTGTATAGGGCGTCGGTGGCACCGTCGGACTGTTCGCACTCTATGGGTAGACACTCCACCTGTGAAGTTTCTTACCCTTGCTCCCAAGTGCTAAACACAATGTGCATCACCTTTGTGCATGTGTGTTAGCATATTTTTAGACTTTTTCAAGGGTGTTAGCACTCCACTAGATCCTAAATGCATATGCAATAAGTTAGAGCATCTAGTGGCACTTTGATACCCGTATTTTGATACGAGTTTCACCCCTCCTGATAGTACGGCTATCGATCCTAAATGTGATCACACTCTCTAAGTGTCTCGATCACTAAACCGAAAAGCTCCTATCAATTTCACCTTTGCCTTGAGCTTTTTGTTTTTCTTTCCTCTTTTTCAAGTCCAAGCATTTGATCATCACCATGCCATCACCATCATCATCATGTCATGATCTTCATTTGCTTCACCACTTGGAATGTGCCACCTATCTCATAATCACTTTGATAAACTAGGTTAGCACTTAGGGTTTCATCAATTTACCAAAACCAAACTAGAGCTTTCAAGTGCCCGTGCGTTGCTACTGGTAAAACATCTCATGACATACAACGAAACAAGTAAAATATATGTATAATCCTATGTCATCATAAATAATTAACATTAAAACACATAATTCAAACTAATTTCTTTGAACTAAAGAAACCAGTACGATGTATTGACTTGACCTAGACAAAGAAAAGTAAGCGACAATTCATTGTTTTTTGTTTGTGAGACTAATATAGCGTCGAAGAATCGCGTGCCTCGTGGGGACGTTGGGAGCGAAGGCAAAGCTGAAGTAGGGGGTCACGCGACAGATGGAGGGTGTGGATGTCGATTTGCATCTTGGTATAAGTAGCCAAGCAAAGAAGCAGAGAGAATTTGCTTGGTTTGCATACTCGTGTAATATATATTCTTTTCTTTTGACGGCAACCAACGTCATTCGCTCATTCGGTAATAATTTTTTACGTAAAAAGCTAAATATTAACACGAGAGAAAAAGATATTAGAAATACTATAATCAATAGGTTTCAATTATATATAATATGTACATCCAATCAGTAACATGTCAACAAGTCATAACTACTTGTCTCATTTCTTTTCGACTTCCTCTATTACCTAAAATTTAGATGGATACAAAAAATGTCAGTAACAAAGGACACAAATGTAAGAATATAAAAGTTATGCAAAACAGAAGACAATACCTTTTCATGGAGTGAGGACCTCTTTGTAGACAATATTTTTCTTGTATGTACCATTTGTCTTTCTTTTTTTCTTATCCTTCTTATCATTGGGTGGGACAGCAAGGATCCCAATGTTCGATCTAGCGGTGGCTCTAGATAGCACAACATACAGCTGACCATGAGAGAACATAGGTTTAGGCAAATACACACCAGCATTGGGGATAGTCTATCCCTATACCTTGTTAACCGTCATGGCAAAACTAAGTCTAATAGGAAACTGCTTCCTCTTGAACTGGAACGGGAACATCTCGTCATCCGAGGGGCATAA